AACGTCTTTGCTGTCAAAAATGATGTATTCTGGGCTACGCGTCAGAAAGCGAATACACCCCCCCCCTTTCTTAAACTTACGACCCTTCACGCTTGTCATCTCACAATTCTCGACATGGTCGCTTTCTGCCATTCCAGCTATCCTAAGGAGTCTCAGCAGGGAGTCTTCCTGCCTGGCTCTTGCATGTGTGTTAAAACTAATTGTTTAACCACCTAAATACATAAACAGGTCTATGTCCATCTACTATTCCTTAATGTAACCTATTATTTTATAATACACATAACTAAATAAAAAAAAATAAATGGAGGGCGGCATTGGACGATTATAATATGAAGTTCATCGAAATAAACTCGGAAGGTAAGTATTTTTCATAACATATCTTTGAGGGGAAGTGAGATAGTACAAATGTTTTCCTTTGTCTATAATACAGTTAATGATAAATAAATATATATATATATATATATATATATATACACTATGTCTGTGTGGCCTCACAATTTAGATTTTCGGCCTTATAATGTGTTCAGTGTTCAACTCTTCCTCTCTTTTGTTGTGAGCATTTTGGGCAGCTCTGCAGGACATTTGTGTCCCATTATTATGATCTCTGACTGTTAGTATATTTAATTCAATCTCAATATTATTCACTTCATGAAACATTGATTACATTTTAGTAATTATTTAGTTGAATAGCATAAGCTCGTGTCATTCTCAGATGTCAGAATTAAATACACGTGCTTAAATCTCCTTTAGCCGTCAGGTGTGTCAAATTTGAGTTCAAAGCCAGTGTTTCAGAGACCTGCTATGTGTCCATCATCAGGGATAATATGGAAATTGACCACAAATTGCTGATATATATCTCAGTCATTGCAGTGCCTCCTTACTGACATGCTGGACAATAATAGAGCACAGTATAATTTAGCTGTTCCCTCTTTCACTTTAGATCTGCCACCCTGTTGCTTAACCTGGGCAGTGGTTCTCCATCTGTTGACTAATCCCTGACTGTTGTTTAACCTGACCATCCCGGGCAACATATTAACTTGATGTGCAGATTTAATGTTTAGGCATGATGGAACCTGTCTTCCTTTTTGTTTAGTCTGTGTATAGACCTGTCCCATTGAGTGTTGTTAACCTATCTGTGTTAGAAACCTATAAAATGATTAGTTTGAAATCTTTTTCCCTCTTGATATTTGGGTGTAGATCTTATTACCTTTTTAACAAGTCAGTCCATATAACTCTGTTTTGAGTAGTATCTTGAATCCTGTGACTTCATTCAAAGGCTCAATTCAATGCTTGCTTTAGTACCACAAATTTATCTGGTTGATACATATTTTCCAAGGTGCCAGTCATGTTCCTTATATCTTGCCACAATGGGTATACCTGTCTGTCCTATACACACTTGTTCACTCATATGATACACTGTAGATCCCTGAGACTTACAGCATCCTTCACTGGTCTTAACATGTGTGAGCTCCTCTTAGATAGGGTGTGGAATGTCTTTATAGTAAATTTATCTGGCAACCTTCGGATGTTTTATGATGTAATGTGTTAGAACAGTAACATAGCCACCCCAGACAGTCACTTTTTTTTAGTGTTTGCTGCCTTACATTTCTGTCATGTAGCTGTGTTGGAGTCTGCTGCACTGCAACTGTTCCCTTAGATGTCAAACTTTGTCTTTGAGACTGTCAGTGTCATGGATAATTTTGATGCAGCTGGTGATCATTGACAAAACCACATGCTTTTTGACCGGATATGGTGTGATTCTGCATGGCAGTAGAGATCCATATGGGTGGGTTTTCCATATAACATATGTCCTAGTGAGCCATCCAGCCTTTTATCATGGAGAAAACTATGAAATGGGAATGAGGATGGCTCAATTTGATTCTGTTCTCCTGTTGCCCAGCATGACAATAAGGAAGAGAGATTGCATTTTCTGACACGTGTGTGTGTGTGTGTGTGTGTGTGTATATATATATATATATATATATATATACACACACCTATTACTGTGACTAATGGCCATTGCCCACATAAGTTCTGATGATGGAAACAGCATGTCTCTGGAACATTGGGTTTCAATTCACCATGGACATGGCTGACCATCCAAGAAGATAGCAGTGCATTTATTTGCCATGAAAGCTTGAAATAAATGCCTTGTAATACATTTGTTGATATTGTTATATTTAGGATATCCATGTCTGATATTTTCATTTTAAGTTTCCGGATTTTAATTTCAGGGTTTTATGTTTTAGTTGATAAATTTGATTGTCACACTTGGCTTAAATGGAAAGCACAAAAGAAAAGCTTTTCTAGCTTCAGACTTCAAGTGATATGTTCTGTTTTTTTTTTTTTTTTTACTTATTTATATACCAGTTATTACCGATATTTCTTCTTCAGAATAAATTTTGGATTTCATAAAAGCAGGGAACTTTTTGTGATATCTGACATTGGCTAGTAAAAGTTATAGACTTCTACATTATGGTGCTATGAAATTTGGTGGATAGCTACTGACATTTTGGAAGAACCTGCTTCCTGATGTCCCAGTTTCGTTCCACTATCTTTACTGCATCATCCCCCACCACATGCCTGAAACTCACTTGCTTGACCTCTCTCCCTTACACCATCAGTTTGGGCTGTGCCAAAGCTCAAGCAGTTAGTCACTGGCTTCTCATCGTGGCGGCCCACGTTCGATCCCGGGTCTGGTCAAGTGGGATTTGTGGTGGACAAAGTGGCACTGTGGTAGATTTTCTCTGAGTACTTCGGTTTCCCCTGCCAATCTTCATTCCACCAGTTGCTCCACAATCACCCTCACCTATCATCTGGGGCTGGTACAACAGGCCAGAAGTGCCCGCAATACAAGGGACTTAGTCCAACCCCACTAGCAATAAAAAAACATACACCATCAGTTGACTTTCAAAGGACAACATGGCATTGTATCCCAAGGGATACTCTTCTTTTGTATACATAACGGATTTTCACAGTCATTCGCTACAGTTTATATTCAGTTATGCTCTTATAGAAGACTTAAGTTAGGTTAAGTTCATGAAGACTTCATATGTATATTGATAAGATGAGGAAAGGAGACTGTTTATTGGAGCAATGGCTCAGAAATACAAACAGAAAATAATATTAAATTTGGGGATATTCCTTGTAAGTATTCTAGGTCATTCCATCTCCTCATTCTGCTGATTTGTAAGGCTGCTCCTTGCTACCTGTGCAACTTACATACCTCCCAACTCATATAATGTCATAAAACCAATACTTTACACAAATACATTTCTTTTGGAGATATTTTTATTTATGAAAAAAGTGAAGGGGTGGTGATCTTGCTTACCCAAAAAGAGAAAGTCACTGACTATAACTGCTTCTTCACATCATGTGATTCTTCAGTAAGGCACTGAATATACAGTTATGATTTATAGAAAATCACATGGTTGCAGACTTAAGCTCATTAAGAGCCATATGAGAAGGCTTGAAAATTATTGAGTACCTTGGCAAATTGTCTCAGAAGTGAGTGTTTTAACCAGTTATGCATGCTGTCAACATGGATTTGAATTTATGGAATACAGATACTGAATCCAATTTTTTACTACCGTACATGTTCTACTGAACTGTTGTAAAAAAGAAACAAAATATACCACATTTCTTCCAATGTACTACATTTTCTGATGTGCTGAATGAGCGTGACTCTCAACAAGCCTGGGTGTGACGCTTGTTCTGTCCACAACTTGTATGATGGATGTAACAGACAGACTGATAGTAGGTCTTTCTGTGAGATAGCCAAAAAGTGGAAATAAATGCAGATCTGCCTTTAGTGTAGGTGTAGGAAGTTAAGATGTCGTGTAATGGTTTTGCATCTGAAGTTAAAAATAGTAACAAATGTATTGGTGCTTAAACTTGATGAGCTTTGGGTTACTACTAATGACACTTCGCTTTATGTGCTGTGTGAAAAATCCTCTCAAGAAATGTGTCTGGCTGGCAAGCTAAGTCTTGCTAACCTCTGTTGAGGCTCAGTAAAAGCCTATTACACCTCTTCTCAATGAAATTAATACTCTGAACAAAATATGGGTAAAATTTTCTGTAATGTTTCTGTCTGACATGGATGAGTTGTGTAAAACATACAAGTAAACAAGACAGTCTTAAAAACTTTTGATAGAAAGCACCAAGGGAGGAGACCAATTGGAAAATTTGTGAGTAGATAGAATGACATTAAAATGGATTGGAGAGAAAAAGTTTATGAGAGCTGGATTGAGTTGTCTAGAATGGAAATAAATCTTTGGCTTCTGTGGTTACAAGGATGTCATGTAATAGCGTTATGTATGGTGAAGAGAATTTCAACCTTATGTTTCATTATAATCTAGGAAATGGCTTGGCATTGCTTTGTGTAACTACTACTTATAATTATGGGGTTTTCTTGGACTGTGGTCCCCTATTTCTCTGCTTAGCTACTATTTTGCTTTGAGTATTCATATTACATCTGTTTTTTGAGCAGACCTGATAACTGAAAATCTGAGAGTCTAAAAGTGAAAATAGAAACCAGTGGGATCAGAAGGTAGAGTGCAAATAAATCTCAAACTGTTTACATCACCTGTATTCATGTATTACACAGAAAAGTCAGAAATGGCAACATTTAAGTTCTTATCAAGTTTTGTTATAATATCAGGACTTTTCTTTTTGTATATCTTGAATAATTTCTGTGTCTGAATGATTTTTTACTTGATTCTCATTTTATGTTTTACCAACTGAATATTGGTGCAATTGATTCTCTTATTAATGAATGCAGTCATGACAATCTTTGTGTTTGTAAATATGCCTGTGGCAATGTTCTTTGTTCACTAATGGGGTGATGAGAAACTTTTGTTCATGAATGCAACTGCAATGAAGTTGATGCGAACATAATACATATTTTGTTTCTGCACTGAGCATGGGAAGTCTTTGCTTTAGCATTACCCATCTAATTCATCCATCTTCAATTTTTCTACGTGATTTGGCATGATTTTTAGGCACAACCGATAGCAGTGGAGCTGGCAGCAAAGTTGCTTGGCAATCGCGTGGCTGTGTCACCTATAGTAACTGTGGAGCCTCGAAGACGCAAGTTTCACAAACCTATCACCCTAACAATACCTGTACCTCAGGCTGCTAACAAGGGCATGATCAACCAGTATTCAGGAGATGCTCCTACCTTACGACTTCTCTGCAGCATCACAGGTGAGTTTTCTGTATATTTACCACTACTTTCGAGGAAAACGAGGCATGGTGGGCACATGCCATAGCAGCCACTGTTGGTGTAGTTCTGTGGTGCTTACAGTCACATAATCTTGGGATGAGAACTCTCTCTTTAAAAAATGAACTGAAGGACTATTTGGCTTTGTATTATCATAACAGGTAGATATAGCAGCATGCATTTTATGTCAAGAATTGTGTAGTAGTAGTAGTGGGTTTATAAGTATGTTAGCTATTTTGAATATTTTAACTTCTCTCTATATATTAAGCCATGATACCTCAGTCAGGAAGGTAAATGGATGTTGAGGTCATCATCACTGCAAAAGTACCTCTGAGACCTATTTATCTTTCCACTACGTGGCTGAGAGTGAGTTATCGAAAGGTTTAAGCTGGCTGCTCACCCACATTTAGTGATAAACCCTACGCTGATAATGCCTTATCCCATGCTCCTGTATGCCTTCATGACATGGTGCTTAGGTTCTGGGCCAACTTTATGTTTTCTTTGTATTCTGTATGTACTTTTCTTGTGTGAAAGATGAAATAACAAGTGATTAAAGAAAATTATATAATGAGAATGATAATATTAAAATTGATCTCAAAGAATTAGGTTGAGAAAATGCAAACAGATTGACTTAATCAGGGTAAGGGTAGTGATCTTCTGTCAACGTGGATGTGATCCAACAGGTTTCATAATAGAAAGGAGTTCCTTTGTCAGCTGAGGCATTTTTTGGCTGCTCCACAGACCCTGTTCAACGAAGATATGTATTATTCATTACAGTAAATAGCAATATATGGTTATTTTATGGTCACAAGTTAAGGAACTGGCCTCTGAGAGCCTCAAGCTCAGTACCTGTCCATATCCATTAGAGGTATCCTTTACCAACAATATCCCTCAGTTTTCTCAGTGTCTGAAATGTATGACTAAAACTCCTATTCTGATTTGTCAGAGTCCATGTAAATGCCTTAGACTGGTTGTCATTATCAAATGTTAGTAATGGCACATGCCACATGACTGCTTTCATGTCAGGAATCTGTTCATCTTCTTAAAAGGAAGTGAAGTTTATGACTGTGCAGTGTATTTTTATTTTCCGTAAATGATCATAGGTATGTATGGGGCATGTTATACTACAAAGAACCAGTTTTAAAAATTTGTGAAAATGGCAGTACAACTTTCCATTAATGTGTTTAGACTGTGTTAGTTATTCCCTTGTTGACTGAAAAAAATGTGCACTTTCTGGCTAATGTAATATGCTCAGAGACTGCAGGTTATTAAAAGTATATCTTTGGTGATTGAGAGTGTTGTATTTTTATAATTACACCCACAGTTGAATGAAAAGAAAATGGCAGCACATGCATATTGTGTTTATGAAGCTCCACATATCACCTTTTTTAATGTAGTAGATATCATGATGATGTTCTGTGTTGGCCGAAACGTGTTTGAGCATTTCTCTTTTAGTGTTTTGATACTGTATACACATCCATCGGCTTTATAAACTATACTCTTATGCTCCTACCATGCAGGAAGAAAAACCCAGACTCTTAAATCTGGGGAACTAGGGTGCCATTAGTTGGGGCCAACATTTGTTACCTGACAAACTGGAAACTTTTCATTTGGAACAGCTCAAACAAACTTGCTAAATGGTGTGGTATACCAACTTATTGCAACTTCCTCTTCTTCTAATTATGGAAAAATGAAATTGTATAATATATCTATGTGTACAGTTATCATTATGGTAGTCACAGAAAAGATAAATGGACTAGACGAAACCTTCACTGTTAGTGACTTACTTCTGTGTTTAATAAGTTGATGGGAAATTTCAAACTTCCAAATTCGACAGTTATGCATGTTAATCAGTCCACAAGTTTGAAAAATTGCTTCTTCAGAGAAAACAGTATCTGTTATCATGGTTACAGAAATACAACACTTTAAAATTCCAAACATATTTTCTGAGGATTCTGAGCTATATATTATTGTGTAACAAATAAAATGAATGGGGAAGTGAAAGAAAATTAAATTTATTCTAAATTATTGCTAATATTAATGTATAATATGGTTCTTAATGTCATATATTTCCTAAGAGATTTAGGTTACATAGACTGTAAATGTTGCTCCAGCAGTAACGCATGAAAATATTACTGGGGAAGGGGGTCACCAGTTATTATTTCACCTATTATTATTCAGTTATTTGTGGATTTTCTCAGTCTCTCCATGTGAATGCTGGACAGTACCTTGAAGAAGGACATGACTGCTTCCTCCCTAGTCCTGTCTTGTCTTGATCAGCTGCATAAACATTCACCTCTTTTGACATCATTGTTGCAGTTGATACCATATCTCTAACAATGTACAAACCAAGCAATCTGCAGTACAAACTCATTTAGTCCTTCAGATATTTTAGTCATAGAAAGGTTTGAATTAAAATGAATATTTTAGGAATAGCTTCCAATACTGAATGTGAAATGCATTCACATACATCCAGGCTCAAGTTCATATGGTGCCTCAGAATCTATGCCTTTGCAAGGTTTTGATTCATTATTCATTTGCAAGTTGAAACTTGTTAGTAGAAATTTAGACATAGGCTATTCTACGAACCTGTTATGTGTATGTTATGCCTGAGATTATGTGTAAATCAATGGCTGCACTGTGAAACAAAGGGATATAAGTGAGAACAGAGAAGACAGATACTGATTTCATATTGTTTCTAAGCTTCTGTAAAATTGCATTAATGTAACATCAAATCAAGATGAAAGTGCTTTACTCTCCTTTCAATGTGATGACGTGGGTATGCTTGTGTGCACTGCTTTCATGCAACCAAAGGAAATAATTACCTGATGGTTGGTGATGAGCAACTTAACTTTTACTTATGCTGGCCATTGGAGGGAGACTATTGAGCAGCAAGTTTCAAGACTCAGCTGTTAGGTGTAAAATTACTTTGCTTGTTCTGTAATTGCTTTCACTGTTCTATCTGATGACGAAGAGATGGTGTTGTGTGTCTGTGTACTTCTTTATGCCTCACTTCTGTCCTTTCACTTCTCGGGTGAGGAGCACATGTTGAAAGGGAGCCAACATTCCAAGTAGATCAGCTGAGTGTTGTGTGTCAGGAGTTAATTATGGAATGTCACTATAGGCTAAGATTGGTTGCCTGAAGTGAGAGCAAGATATCCAGCATTGCTTGCTGTCTCGTTCCATTCTGAATTGACATTTTGAGTAGAATATCCTTTTTGGCTTGCATTGCCATGTGACAGTCATGCCTTGCTGGATACTCTACACATTGCTGTGTTTCTATAAGTAGACATCCATAGGGGATTTGAGTTCAGTTTTGTAGTTCTAAATTGGGTTTCACAAATTTTTTACTATCTTTTGTGATTTTTTGAACATTTTATATTACTTTAATAGCTCTATTAGTTTTTATTCTTTTGAGAGAGAAATTAGATGTTGTCTTTACAAGTGTTCTTGTGCAGTAATTCTATATAACTTGCAGGGGTTGGCAACCTTGCTTCTGTACGTAGTGTGCTCGCCCTAAGACCACAGGTTTTAAGAAGTAACTGTATAGTTTGAGTAACGGACTGTGCTTGGGATGGTGTTGTGTTCACAATAAGAGCTTCAGCATGGCTCAGAACATGTCATTGACATGCCTGTTTGTGAAGAGTGCATTTCTGGAAACATAACACCATTGCAACTCAGCTGCGTTACATAGTTTAGTTGTGTAGTACAGTGCTCCAGGGGAACATGTGTATGTTCTACTGTCTGAACACTGGCTAATGTAGCTAGTAGTATTTATTTTCAGTGATTTGTTTTTATATCAGTTTCATTGTTGCCATCTTTTCATATTTTATAAACATTTAGTGAATGACCTAAAATAAGCTAGCTTTTTGTTTAGAATTCTGTAACATGAGCAGGTTACCATCCACTGTCATAGGGTGAGAAAACAGAACAGGAAGTATCAGAACATAGGGATTGTGATCTCTTTTGACTTTATTACTTCGTTCTAATGATTAACAAATTTAAAGGCTTCTTGAATTTTCATTTTCCAAAGATGTAATATGTGCATTCATGTATTTAATAGCAAGAAGGTTGAATAAAGTACAGAACTGTAAGGTTTCTTATGTTGGACTCTATCCATCATCTGGTATTAAGACAAAAACCACAACATTTCGAAGACTGGATCTGTCTCCATCCTCAGGTGGATAGGCAAGATAGACCTACTCAGTTGGGCCCGTTAGAAAGAGCTAGTGAGACCCAACTGAGTAGGTCTATCTTGCTCCATCCACCCGGGAACGGAGACAGATCCAGTCTTCAAAACGTGGTTTTTTGTCTTATACATACCAGATGATGGATAGAATCCAAAATAAGAAACCTTTCAGTTCAGTACAGCATACACCATCGTCAGAATCCTTTCAAGTCTATTTGAATAAAGTACCAAAATAATTTCTGTCCACCAAAAGTGAAATGGAGTGAACAGTCAGTGTGTGTAAAGGCAGATGTGGTGTTGTATCGTGTGAGGATAGTGCCAGAGCTCTCGAAGCACACTTAGAGGGTTGCCGGCCCCTGGCTATGTCGACTGTGTTGTAACTAATTCGCTCCCTCACTTTGCTGCATTGCTGCACGCATGGCAGGGGTGTTTCGGAAAAGATCACTTAAAGGTAATGGGCAACACTCTCTGTTGTTTTATATATAATTATTATATATTCCTTTCTGTCTTGAATTATATATTTTTAACAAAAATCACCAATTATTAAAAACAGTTAACACCACACACTTTTCTTAGATTTGTTGCATATACATCTATATATATTTTTTCTCTCCAATTTTTTTTGGACTCAGAGTTGTTAAAACTGTTGTCATAAACTGGAGATCATTTGCAGGGGAGCATTATTAGGTTTTCTAAATTATTACAGGATGGCATACTATGTGGCACGTTCTGCTTACCTTGTTTTCTTGGGATGCACAATATTTTCAGGATTGCTTCATTAATGTCCACCTCATG